AAAAAGATTCTCTCGGCATCTCATCTTTCCCTGCAGGAGGGAAAACACAACGACCGAGAGAGACACAGAAAGCACATCAGAGGGCAACAAAGGCACCGGGAATTCGCACCAGCCGCCGGCCATAAAAATTCTGCGTCCATTATTTATATTTACATTCGCTGCGACAGAAAGGGGTCCTGGTTTTTACATGTGGGCGGTTCCTCGATTTATCGCGTAGCTCTTTTTATTATATTTTTGGCTATTATTTTGAATTTTTCACCCTGTCTGGGAGGACACTAGTAAATCTCCATTCTGTGCGTCTAGACTAGTTATTCGTCACCGTCTTGAACGAACAAAAAACGCATCGCAAGAATCCCCAGATTTTCTCCAGTGTAGCTCGGACCCTCAAAACACAAATCAAAAAGTGACTCGTAATTCTTTGGAGTTGGAGAGACGCTCGGCATTAAATTTCGATTACGTCAGCGCTGGCCAAATTGGCCCCGCTCGCGCGCTCGGGTGCCGCTGATTAAATAACAATAATTAGCGCTCGCCTCACGTCGGCAGTGATTAATTACGGCGCGCCTTTTGTGAAATTGTTACCCCTGAGAGTGAAAGTGACTTGGAAATTAACGCCTTTCGCCATTCAAACTACGGGTTGCCACTGTGATGAGTGCAAGCGACACCATGATTTTGCTCCCCTTTATAAATAGAGGTACATATTACACTTCAATGAAAAGCGACCAAATTGGTAAATCTGGATTTTATGACATAAAAAAAGATAGGAAAATGCGTGTTCCGCAGGCGATGAACAATCTTGTTACAGGTCGTGGCTAAAAAAGTTCATTAAAAAAGTGATCACATGTTTATGATGACAAAAACACCCTTTTTTCTCCAATATTTGATAATATAAATTTAAAATCCAAGCTTTATGATTAAAAATGAAAAAAAAAATGCAGACTTTTCTATTTATGTTTTAACCTTATTTTAAGTCATACTAACCAGAGTTTTAAACATTAATGAAAAAAAAATCCGGATTTTTCTTTACGAAATATTCTAACTTTAAAGCTCCTGGCAAGTAATTTTAATTTGTAATAATTATCCAAACCTACTATCCCGGTTGACCATATTTAGCAAAACTTTGAAATGAAAAAATCTAACTCTTCTAGAGTAACTAAAGACACTGTAACTTTGAAAAAAAAGCCAACTTTAATTTGACATTAAAAACGTACAACGTCCACTTTCTATCCTTTCCTTATTTTCTTGCTCGAATAAATTTCTATAAACAAGACACTTCTAGGATTTTGGGTGTTTATTGATATCCAATACAGGACGTAGTATCTCTATTTCTCTCAGAAACGAAGACGGGGAAATCAACTCACATTACTACCTGTCCAATCAGCAGCTGGACCGTGACGAAAAGCAAAGTTTTCGGTGCAGAAAGAAGCCCTTCCTTGTCGAAAGCAGGAAAGAAATAAAGAAATTGGTGCAGCCGTTAGGTGTAAACATTTGTCAAGGGATTGACAGCGCCGTAAGCTCGATACAACTCAGGGTGGCTGACTGGCGGATATGTGCGGCCCTCACTCTAGAATAACGAAAGGGCGCTCTTGAGAGTTTTGACAAACTCAATTTCGTGCAGATAGAAGGCACGAGGACTATACTTGTTTGTATGCCCTATATAGCTCTCCTCGAAATTCCTGTCTGAAGTCTGAGGGTTCGATAAATTCCGAATGCCGAACCGCTTTGAGAAGAGGCTCTTTTGCACGGCCATCGAGGCCAACAGGGCCCATTTTCACTTCACTCTCTTCAAAATAATTTTAATCTCCTGTCGTGTAGGAAAATTTTTCCGCATTTTTTTTAGCTGCCTTTTCACAAAGAGGACGCGAACAAAGAGTGAAAAGAGAAAAATAAAACAACACGCGCGGCACGCGCATTTATTTTGCTGGTGCAAACAAGAAGAGGCAGCCTTTTAGCCAGCTTTTCGCAAGCGAGAGTTTCGTCGCAAAATATTAAAAAAGCAGCAGAAGCTTTTTTCGAAAGTAAAGCGGAAGAAGAGGCTGCAAAAAGAGGTCCTCTGCTCGGGGTAGAGACGCGATAGATTTTTCCTTTTACTGAAACTCTACACGTCATGTGTGCATACAAATTTTATTTATATACCACGCAGAAAATTGTCAGCCCAAGTAGCTACTCCCTCGCAGAAGGCCCAAAGGGAAGGAAAGTCGTCGGAACACCAGTTTAATGTTCCCGCATTCTTTTTTTGGAAGCAACTTCTCAGCTTCTTTTGATCGCAGCCAACTTTCAGAGTAATTTTCTGAGCGCTTTCACGGAGCCATTGGAAAATCAGAAAAAAGGTATTTTCATTCCTTCGCTTGCCTTTGCGCCAAACTTTTGAATTAAATATTATAAGACATTATGTTTTTATATAATCCTTTGAACTTTGAAGTTTGCATTTATTTCAAAAGAGTTTGATTTAAAATATGATTAAGTGTTACAACGTAAAAATAAAATTTAAATAGTGCCCTGGGGAATTTGATGTGGTGTGAACGTTTGAAGTGAGGAATCGTGTTTTGGGGCAAGTTGGAAATTGAAAGCTTCACATTTAGTTAATTATTTTTGATCGAAAATGTACCCTAAATGCTTAATGGATTTGAACAGAGGGTGACAACCCGTATTTCAAGCTTCAAAATGCTGATTATACAAGATGAATAACAAAAACAAAATTAATGGAATATGTAGACAATGAAGATTGCGAAGATTGGGTCGAAATTCTGTAAGAGTAGATACTTGGGCCGTTGTTCTTATTGGAATATGCATTTTTTTTTATTAACCATGAGGTTTGATACTGATTAAAATTCATTGGAATTTAAATTTAAAAATATAAAACAACTAATTTTTTTGTAATTTCAATTTAGGAGATTTTCTAAATTTTACCTGTATGCAACTTTTGAAACAAAACTTGAAAAATGAATTAACATTATGCTTTATCTTTGGCCACTACGAAGATTGTTTTGTTATAACAACGGGGTCCTAATAAATTAAAATACTTATACATCATGTAATGTAAATTTGATTCTGATTTTCTTAGATCTGAATTATCTGAATTATTTGTACCAATTTTTTCTTAAATAATAAAAAAAGTGAAAAAGGTCAAGAATCTGCCTACCCCTATAACAAACAAAGGTTAATAAAGGAATGAGTGAAAATAATATCTACCTCTCTTTCCCTCTCTGGCACACACAACCAATTTAGTGTTTACTCAACCAAACACTTGCACCAAACGACATATTGGCATCAGCGCAACAGTCGAGCGAACCGCCGTGTTTTACATTTTTTGTTTTCCTCTTCTCTCATTCATCCAGCGTATTGCGAAACAAAATTGCATAAAGATTTTTTATTACCGCGTGTGCAAAAACTCTTTCATTCCGGGCGCTATCTTGTTCAACACCCATACATAAATTCTGCGTGGCACCACTCCAACTGATCAGATCCTTTTTATCTGACTGAACCCATTGCCATACTTTCCAAAGTGTTTTCGCAAGTCAGGTTCTACAGACTTAAGGGACCGTTTCCTTTGCTCGGTCAAGGGCTAATTTTCACTTAGTAGCAAGAAGCGATGAAAATTCCCCTAGGGAAGATTGGCAGTCGTAAAGGACCGTCTGGGTTCCCCTCGGAGCGGCGGCGAATTTTCACTGCGCCTGTTCTGCAACAATAGGCTTTTTGGAGCTAGCGTGTGTGACCAGAATTTGGTCCTCTCTGCATCAATAGCGAGACCGCTGGCCCCATTTCAAATATACCACATCTGCCAGCCGAATTTATTGGTTTTTGCTGATTTGTCGTTCTGCGCCGCTCTTTTTTTACACATCCATTTGTTTTTATCTAAAGTTTGAACGACCAATTTTCTTCGAAAGTAGCAACGTGACGCGGAAAATGGATTTTCCGAGATTAATTGGGTGCATCAATTTGATCAATTTCCTACTGAGCACAATGGAAGAGTAAATTATGCACCGATGACCACTGCTGATGTAATTATTTCATGATCGAGTTTTGTTATTGTTGATAATTTATTATTTCATTTTTCCCCATAAGCCGCGCAAACAGAGCGGTGCTTGTGCTTGTTTGGGTAAATAATTCATCGAGCCAATTTTTCCTCGGCTACAGAAGCGACCTGCTTTTTCCAATATTGGCTTGCCGCTCCGTGCGCCGAGAGTGGCTTTTGCGCGACCCGCGTTGCTAAAAGCATATGATTGCGCCTTAAACAAATATGTACAATTTCCGCTCTAATCTTTTCTCCATCCTCCCATCATATGTTTGCATTTTGCCGCTTTTCTGTCAAAAAGTCGCCATGAATTATGCGACTTTTTCATTTTTTTACCTAGGTAATTTATGGTACGTGTTGTCAGCCAAGATAAAAAAGGTTTCCTATCAACACAAAAACGTAGTCTTTTTTATCTTTTATACAATAGTAACAATTAATAAAAACTTATTTAATTAATTAATGTAAGGTTATAAAATAAAAACTCATTCAATTTTATCATATAGCTGCGTTCCCTTAATTAATAAAATTTGTTTCCAGTCCCCAGCCGTCCTGTTATTTGCCTTGTTTTATTATCTTATATTAAAATTTTTTTACTTGAAAAATCATCTGAAATATGAAAATGGTCCATACATCAGTCCTGCATTGTGTGACAAATCGCCTTTTAATTAAAGCATGTACAATATGATAAATTTGTGTTTAAAAAATAAAACTTGTTTTTTGCAGAGGAAGTTGGTTAGAAACCCGAAATTTTTCTGGAGTGGGTGCGAGGGGAGGGGGTATAATAGGAGAGCACCGATTTTATATTTTACTGGCTGTGAGCTGTGAGTGTGAAAGTGAAACTAGAGAGAGGGAAAATACATAATTATGTAATGTTAGTTTATGTAGTTAGTTTGCAAGACCAGCCGCTGCCGTGACAGAAAAGGAGAAGAAAAAGGAACAGAATTTCGATTGGACAGTTTTGTGCGAGTGAGAACTTGCAGACGATAGAGGGATAGACGCAACTAGCATCTAGCAGCAGCAATAGTTGGAAGCGACGACCGACGACGACTACAAAAGATCTCTCCTAGTTTTGCTTTTTGCCTGAGACTTTGATGCTTTCTTTTAAATTTCGAACAAATGGAAACCATGGCGACTTTTGATGCGTTTCAATCTTTGAAGTACTTTTTCCGGGTGTATTACGAAATTAATTATGTACATTAATACCTAATTAACAACATAAGCAAACAATTTTCTCATAATGGCAATTAACGTACATAATTTATTTACCGATATGATTTACATAAATATGTATTTTCCTTACCTGCGGCGGTTTTGATCTTCTTATCAAATTTGTTTTTGCAGGAGTTCTAAAGAGGTTGATGAGAAAATTGCTAGCCTGGGGCTGAGAGAGCAAAGGTTCAGGGTCAAGCCCATGCCCAGTCTGCGCGAACTGGGCATCAGGTTCATCTTCAAGAACGCAAACATCTTCTCCAGAGAGCCAGTCAACTACTTAGGAAAGCTGCGTAAGTCCGCCTCGATCATTTTTTTATTGTACATAATATCAGTTTTAGGTTGTTAAGTGTCTTAATTTATTTATCATAAGGCAATTTACAAACTTGCTGCCCAGTACAGTCAAAATACATACAAAAATTATCAATTTAAATCATAAAGAGAGGAAAATTATCTTAAAAAACAAATCAATCATCATTTTATTACATCAATTGGATTATGATATATTTTATGTATTATTTTATTACATACATTATTATGTCTTAAAATTACCCTATGTAATCTAGTCTTCTAATAATAATGAAATAATTGCTCCTATCTAACTTTTATCATTATTCAATCTTAATCCCAAATTTTATGTAATTATTAATTTGTCTTGCAAATTTTTCACAGCTTACAACCTGGCGCAAGATCTGCTTGCTTTGTGCGTGTCTGCTAAGGGGCCTTATGATGAAGATGAAGAATATGAAATTAAAAAAGCAGAGAGGGAGAAGACTGTATCCCTGGTCAAACGTCTGCTAAACGTTCCAAATAGCAACATCAAGAGCTTGGACATTCTGGGCATGTTGCATGTGGGCGAGGACAACTGCTACAACTTTGTGCAACTGGCACTGAAGAACTGCCCTAAGCTGGAGTATGTGAGCGCCCCCTGTCCTCTGCTTCCTTCTGCTTGTGCCAACAAGACCTTGCAGTTGGCCCAGTCCATCGTCACCAAATGGAGCAAACTCAGGTCGCTTGACCTGATGGGTTTCTTCATCACCGACGCTGCCATGAAATTGATCAGTGAGAAGTTGCCTGACTTGCAGTAAGTTTTTTTTTAAATTCTAAATATATTTTATTGTGTGTAAAACTGAATTAAACAGGAGGATCAACTTGTGCCTCTGCAAGGATAAGTTCACTATGGCAGGTGCGGATTTTCTCATCAAGTTGAAAAAGTTGACTGACCTGGAGCTCTCTGTGCAAAAATATGATTTGCACATGCAGTTTTTTGCGAACCTTCTGATTAAAATCCCAGGCAACCATCCAAGTTTGCAGCGGATCCACCTCAACTATTTTGAAGACAGTCCTTTCATTGTTACTGACTTTGTAGAGTAAGCGTCCTCATTTTTATCTTCATATACATATATATATATAAAAAAAAACATTTTTTAAAAAAATGTTACATATATAGCCATACCTTTTTTAGCTGGAAATAATTTTTAAGCTGATAAGCCATATTTCTTATAATGATTTGATTATTAACAAATTTGCAGTTTCTTTGGCAAATACTTCCCTGAAAAAGAGTTGACCCTGGATCAAGTGTTTGTGATTGAGCCTCTTAGGCGCCTTTGGTCTCCAAACCTGCAAGTCAACAGTGTCATTTTGTCACCCTCAGCCTATGCTACTGACATAGGCTTCCGCAGTCTTTGCGCTATGCCCTGTGGAGTCTCAGAGCTTGTACTCTTTCATCTTGCCGACCCCGAGCTGCTTTACAAACTGCTAGAAAAGCTGGGACCTCAACTGAAGAAACTCTGGCTGTTGGACAGGATCACCAGTAACATCAGTTCACAAAATTCATGCACCCTGAACCTATTCAGAGTGATGTCCCTGTGCCCAGCCCTTGAGCACTTCTCCACCAACTGCCTGATGCCTCTGCAGGCTGAGCCAAAGTACAATCTCACACCACAACACTTTGCCAATATGAAAAGCTTTCAGCTGGATGGAGAGTGCAAGTTGTGAGTACAAAGTTTTAACTATGAGTTTTTTTGTTCCAACTCCTGTGTCCTGTCCGTAACAAATTCTTGTCAAAAATAATTATCTAGTGTATCAGGTACATTTTCTTCCGTAGGGCTAAATGCTGAGCTTCAATTTTTTAAATTAAAAACACAGTTTTTTTTAAACTGTCGATCCCTCTGTGGAATGGCAAAAGCGGTAGAAGTCAGGCCTACTAAATACAAGGGCCGACAATAATACAAATTTACAATTTTTGCCGATAAAATGTCTAATTTTGCAAATTTAAGAGTCTTGGAATAAAATGTAAAAAAACTTACGTATTAATATTGAATAATTATTTGAAAGCAATGATTTAAAAATATATATGCAATTCTTATCGAAAATAAGGATAATATTGTCTATCAGGGATGCACTTGAGGGGGATGAAGGCTTAATAAATTATGAGAAAAAATGTGAGTTGAATGTTGACTTTACGACTCCAAAAAAGAAAGGACTCCAAAATGTTCTAAAGCTGGCAAAGGCAGAATACAAAAACCACTTCATAATACTGGTGTTAAACAATTAAATATAAAAAACTTTTGGAGTTGCTCGACATTAAGTAAAATAAATTCCCTTTGAGCGACATTCCGAGACTTAAACTAGAATTTTTCCTGTTCTTTTTATATCTCTTTACCTCTTGATTAAAAAATAAAAATTACCACGTATGATTAAATCTTTTCTCTCTACAAATTTCAGCATGGGCACTCGGAGTGTGCAGACATTCTTTGAAATTTTTGAAATGGTCATGAAAGGCTCCAAGTGCCTTTATGTGCTCGATCTTCAGAACAAGCTCCTTTTGCTGATGACTGCCAAATTCCTGAAAACAAATCCTAATTGCCTGCCTCAGGTGAAAGTCTTCAATGCTGTTTACAATGAGACTGGAAGCAATATTGAAGAAATCATCGCTACCATTGGAAAACAGCTAATGCTGTGCTCCCCCTTCCTCAGCATGATTGAAATCCACGGCCTTAGCGAGTGAGTCTCCTTTCCAGCAAAATTAATTTTTTTAATATCAATGTGCACACTTTGCAGGGACATGCTTCCCATTTGGTTCCTGGACATGGCAGCTAACCTGGGGGTGCAAATCAAGGCCCGCATCCATTACAACTGCTCAGGCTTCAGTCATGTGTTCCTCAACCGCATTCATGTCTTCTCCAGCTCCAGCCTTGTTGGTACCTCTGTTGAGGCAGAAAATCGCAAAATTTGGCTCGCAAAGTATTACAGAGCTTTGTTGCAAGTCTAGGTGCACACTCGCCTATAGTAATATAAGTTATCGTCTATTGTGAGTTTCGCAACCTAACAAAGTGAATTTTGCCCTTAAGCTGAATTGATGCAAAACATAACTTGCCATTTTTCGTACACATATTTTTATTCAGTCAGCATTAACCTTTATTTGCAAAATTGCTAAAATCAAAATTTTTCCTGCATCCAAGTTATAGATCACATAATTATTCTCTAATTATAAGAGCAACGCTTGTTGTCGGCAGCTGGCTCAGCAAACAGCAAACCAATCCGGCGTACGAAATGCTTAGATGAAAGCATAATATTCAAAATGATTCAGTTTTATTAAATATAATAAATTATCACTGCAAGAAAGAGAAGTAAAACAAAAAAAATTAAATAATTATTTCCTTTTTTGTGTTGTACTCATGCAATAAATAATAAATAATTATGTAGAATTGCAATTGAATTCTTTAACATTTTGCACATGAATACATGACACCAAATTATGTTCATAGAGCACAAAAAATCATTCTTCCTATGTGTGAGGGGTAATAAGCGTAATAAGAGAAGAGAGCATAATTATGAAGGTTATTAAAAATTTCTGTATACAGAAATTTAATTATAAATATTTATTTTGCTTAACATAATCGCGCTTTATCCAATTATTATGGTCTAATTCAGTATATATATTTATCAGTACTATATATTTATTTTAATCTGTGTGACATTAAGGCATAGTAAAAAATTACTAGCTGCAGCCATGTTAAAATCTCATTCTTTTACGGGGCTTGACAGAAACTTGAAATTCTGCGATGGATTTAAAAGTATTCAGATTATGAGTTGAACTATTGTGTGCTTATGTTTCAAGTATGAAAATAATTTATTTTTGCCTCACCACTTCTTAACAGGGTGCCAAAGTGAGGTCCGAGGGGTGAAAATGGTATAAATCCACGCTTTTCTACCTTCAAAGACTCGAAACTTTAAGCTTTGGTTAAGTGAGAAAAATATTTCCCAGATAGCTTATTTGATTGATTCACATTCTCAAGATGCCAAAGTATCCAAAAAAAGCAAAAATTTTATACTTCTTCTGAAATTATTTTTATCACCCTCAGAGAAATAACATTATTTAAATGACGTTCGGTTAAAATGAGTTTTTTTTATCCTCTGCAAGAATTTATAATATTTAATATTACGAAAAAAAATACGACAGAATATGTTAAAGTTAAACGTCACGATTAAAATAATTTGAGACTTTTTTTTATAAAATTCAAAAATTAAATTAAATTGAAAATTGGAAAAATATTTTCAAAATATAATAATTTGGAGATTAAGCTTAATGTTAATTTGACTTAACATCAAACTTGGTGTCTTTATGTTGAAAAATTGAATAGTCTCTAATTCTTCTGGCCAGCTTGGGTGGGGGGAGGTTTATGGAGACTGTCATCACTGGCTGTGAGGTGTGAGTAGAGAAAGAGAGGAAAATGAGGAAATACATAATGTAATGTGTGTGTTGGAAGTTGGAATGCCCGCCGGCCGCCGCCGCCGCCGAGAGAGAGAGAGAGAGAGAGAGAGAGAACAGGAGAAGAAAAAGTTTGTACAAAACGGTATGTACAGCAAAAGTCGGGCACTGGGCATTCACATTAGATTTACGCGACGCGACGCAGCTGCGACGACTATCATCTGGACTCGATCTGGTGTAAAGTAAACCATGGCGACTTTTGATGCATTTCAATCTTTGAAGTACGCAGAATTAGGCATTTTTCCGCTTGATATATTATTAATTACATTCAAATCAAAGCTATTATGTACATAATATATTATGCAACAATTTTCTCATGTGGCATCATAATGTTTACATATTAAATATTAATCAAAATTTTCCTACCTGCATGCGGCGGTTTTGATTTTCTTATCAAATCTGTTTTTGCAGGAGTTCTAAAGAGGTTGATGAGAAAATTGCCAGCCTGGGGCTGAGAGAGCAAAGGTTCAGGGTCAAGCCCATGCCCAGTCTGCGCGAACTGGGCATCAGGTTCATCTTCAAGAATGCAAACATCTTCTCCAGAGAGCAAGTCAACTACTTTGGAAATCTGCGTAAGTATGTACAGTCATACGCAACGGTCCGGATTCCGGATCCTTGTTTTGCATGCTTTTATCATTAACATATTTAACGAACGCAGCCAAGTGGAAAAAAAATGAAAAAGTTTTAACTGTAAATCTGATATCTTTTTAAAATCTCAGATTATGAAATAAACTCCCAATTGCTCCTTGCTCCTAAGTTGCAAATTGCATAAAAGATCATGTTTAAAAACTTCTTTCAACCTTGATCCCAACAGTTTCGGAATTATAATTCATATTTATTGTTTGGATTTTTAATAGCTTTCAACCTGGTGCAAGATCTGCTTGCTCTTTGTGTGTCCGAAGACATGCCTGTTGATGAAGACGAAGAAGATGAAACAAAAGAAGAAGATAGAGAGAAGACTTTATCCTTGGTAAAACTTCTACTTAAAGTTCCAAACAGCAACGTCAAGAGCTTGGACATTCTGAGCATGTCGCATTTGGGCGAGGACAACTGCAAAGTCTTCGTGCAACTGGCACTGAAGAACTGCCCTAAGCTGGAGCATGTGAGCGCCCCCTGTCCTCTGCTTCCTTCTGCTTGTGCCAACAAAACCTTGCAGTTGACCCAGTCCATCGTCACCAAGTGGAGCAAACTCAGGTCGCTTGACCTGATGGGTTTCTTTATCACAGACGCTGCCATCAAATTGATCAGTGAGAAGTTGCCCGACTTGCAGTACGTTTTTTTTTAATTCTAAATAATATTTTATTGTGTGTATATAAAATTGAATTAAACAGGAGGATCAACTTGTGCCTCTGCAAGGATAAGTTCACTTTAGCAGGTGCTGGTTTCCTCATCAAGTTGAAAAAGTTGACTGACCTGGAGCTCTCTGTGCAAAAATATGATTTGCACATGCATTTTTTTGCAAACCTGCTGATTATGATTCCAGGCATCCATCCAACTTTGCAACGGATCCACCTCAATCATTTTGACGACAGTCCTTACATCTTTACTGACTTTGTGGAGTAAGTGCTCATATTTTTGTTTGCTCTTTCAAAAATTGAAAAGCTGAAGCTGAAAAAATGTTTAAATTAGAAAAAAAAATCTGTGCCAACTAGGTAATTTTTCTTGATACCCAAATATTGCAGTTTATTTGGCAAATACTTCCCTGGGAAAGAGATAACCCTGCATCAAGTGACTGTGGTTGAGCCGCTGACATACCTTTGGCCTCAAAACCTGCGTGTTAACAGTGTCCTTTTGTACCCCTCGGCCTACGCTACCGACATTGGCTTCCGTAGCCTTTGCGCTATACCCTGTGGAGTCTCGGAGCTCATCCTCTTTCATCTTGCCGACCCCGAGCTGCTTTACAAACTACTAGAAAAGCTGGGACCTCAACTGAAGAAACTCAGGCTTTGGGAAAAGATCACCAGCAACATCAATACACAACATTCATGCACCCTGAACCTATTCAGAGTGATGTCCCTGTGCCCAGCCCTTGAGCACTTCTCCACCAACTGCCTGATGCCTCTGCAGGCTGAGCCAAAGTACAATCTCACACCACAACACTTTGCCAATATGAAAAGCTTTCAGCTGGATGGGGAGTGCAACTTGTGAGTTACTTTTATTTCACGGCTATTTGTTTTCTTGATACATGTTTGCTAAAAAATTAAAAATTTCAGTCTTGATGCTGAGAGTGTGCTTATATTCTTTGAGATTTTTGAAATGGTGATGAGAGGCTCCAAGTGCCTTCAGGTTCTTGATCTTCAAAACAAGCTCCTTACGCTTATGACTGCCAGATTCCTGAAAGCAAATCCTAATTGCCTGGGCCAGGTGAAGGTCTTCAATGCTGTGTTTAATGAGATGCGAAGCAATGAAGACGTGGAGAACATCATTACCATCGGCAAGCTTCTGATGCTGCGTTCCCCCTTCCTAGGCATGATTGAGATCCACGGCCTTGAAGAGTGAGTCTCCTGCCGTCAACAAAATTTATATTTGTAATAATATGGTGCTCAATTTGCAGGTACATGTTGCCATTTTGGTTCCTTGATATTGCAGCCAGCCTGGGGGTGCAAATTAAGGCCAGCAACACATTCTATTGCTCTGGCTACAGTCACATGCTCCTCAACCCCATCCACGTCTTCTCCAGCACCATCAACCCTGTTGGCACCACTGCCGACCCCAATTCTGCTCAAAATCGTAAAATCTGGCTCGTGAATTATTTTCCGAGCTTATTGTCGGAAAGGCGCATGATGGGTAATGTAAGTTTGTGAAATTGTTCAAAATCCATATTGTTGAAGAAATGGAAACCTTTAATTGATGCAAGAAATAATTAGCAATTGATTTTTATCTTTAAGACTTAAAATATTTTGTAGTAAAATTAATGACCCATAATTTTTTTTTATCCTTTCAATCATTCATCATTTGATATAATTTCGGAATCACATTTTCTTAAATTTGCTAAACAGCGTTTTGATGAAAGCAAGTAACAGGTAACAATATGAAAAGTGCTTCAAGGAGTAACTGATTACTGATTTTCTATCACTGCAAGAAAGAAGCAACACTAAAATTTTTAATATAATATCACTAACTTTTTCAATTGCATATAAATCTTGATTTGGGCAGAGATTGCCTTGTGCAATCTCATTGGCAACTAAATATGCCATGCTCAATGAACTATACTGATTGAATAGCGTTGAAAAAGAAAAATGGAACAGTCTTGCTCATATGACTTAAGAAATTCAGGAAATGCTCAATAATTGTTACCATCACGTGTAAGGAAAGTTGTGCGAATTTGGTATTACAGCCTTTACCAACAATTGTAGACTAATTAATTTTTTTCTGGCCCTACACACTGAATAATTAATCGCTCCTCCCAACTATTAATGTCATGTTAAAATTTCATATGCACCAAAAAAGGAGCCCAAACTTTTACTAATAGGGCATTTAATTAACCATTTTAGTGAAAAAAATGTACAAACAATCAGTCAAATACTTTAATCAGTTGTAGTGTAACTAGAAAAACTAAAATATTGGCTACTTGGGCATAAATTAATTTTGTGCGTCCAGTATATGTCACTTCGCACATTTATTTGGTAATTTTTGGGATCAAAATATAATATTGTATGGATGATTATAGACCTATAGAGTACATATTTCATTGTAATTTTTTTTTAACATAAAATAAGGCACCACACTAAAAGAGCAATCTGTAAAGCCCAGCAAGTGACAGCGTAGTCTATTTTCTTTTTTGTGTCTGAAGCCTGCAGTGAAATAAAAACGTATATGGACGCAGGAAGAGAAAGCGCACAGGCCATTCCACCCGGCTAGTTCATGCTGTCAAAACAATTATTCTTGCGCTCGCTCGCAATATGATGATAAATAACCTGCTTTTATCTCCGTGGAGCGACTAATTCAATCTTTCCTCCCTGAAATGCGAGCGTGTATTTTATTTCAACCTACCCTCTGTTGGGGTTGCAAACCAGTTCTCGCGTTTCTTGTTAATGGAGCAGTGCAATTGGATCGCGGCTGCTGCGGCAACGCGATAAAAATTGCTCCTGCTTTATGGTGGAGCAAATTCGGATTAAATTAACTCTTCCCAGAATTTATCCGGCACGTGCGGCTATTACTGAATTTGTCTGCAGAATTTGCTCTCTGAGTACTTCGTAAGTGGTGCAGAAATCAGTACAATTCGCTGTGGGTAATAATTATTTTAAATTAGGAGCATGAAAAATTAAATTAGAAATTTCATCTTTAAAAAAAAAAAATAATGAAAAATAGCGGGGGGGAAAAATTATAATGCCTCTAGTATAGAATTACTTCTTTCAGGTGTTTAAGTTTATATTAAAATGAATTAAGTGCCTCTTTTCCAGTTTTTAAATATTCAATTATTATAATGAATTCATAATTTTAGGTGCCTTCTCTGTCAACTAATATTTATATTAATTATTCATTATTATGCAGTGCTTTTTTGAAAGATGTTACATTGAATTTCCTGATTCAAAACGCATAGTAGAATGGAATTCAGTGTGACTATGTGGCAAGAGATTACATCAAAGTCTAGCGCAAACACCGGCAACATCAAAGAATGAAACCCGGAGTACAAACAGACAAGAAAGCTTTTTGCTTCTCTTTCTTTCTCGCCACTACTCGCGTGGTTGTAAAAAAGTTCACTGTGATTTATATCACCCCAAGAGCAAATGATTCTGCAATCTGGAAGTCGCACGCTGAGAATATAATTTTAGGGCAAATTGCAATTTAAAAATGCCATTGGTGGCGTTTCTGTGGAGCGGCGCTGATTTCGCCACAAGACTCGATGGATTCATTGGCGTGCCGAGAATTCAGAGTGACTGCAGGGCATCGCACCGTTGGTGGGTGGGTGAAGAGGGCCGGCGTCGCGTGTGCATTGCAGAAATCAATACTCCAAGAGCCTTACTTTTGCCCCACTTTTGGCCCAAAATGCACCTCTGTAGACCATTTTGTCACCGTGATGGTCGATTTGCAAGATTGCCTTTTCCAACGAAAAAACGACAGCTGCTTTCGCACGTCCTTGTTGTGCCGGAATTTATGATGGCGAGATGAGATATTCCTTTTTTTATATGCAAAAGAAAACAGTTGGGAATTCGACAGGCAGGAGTGCAAAATAATGCAAAGATTTTTTCCAGCCGGCGCCAATTTTCACCAACCGGCTCGTTGTGGCGGAAAATGCGCGCGTGGGCTAAATCGGAAAAATGCTGTTGCGGAAATTTATTGTACCCTAGAGGTCTCAAAACTTTGTTTGAGCCACGGCTGCTTTTTGAAAAAATCTCATTGCTGGTGTTCACTCAATTTATCGCTTATTGCAGCTTGTTTATGGCTAAATTTTACAAAAAAATTAAAGAGCTTCTGTACTCTGATGTAAATCATGTGATTTATCATGATTTGTAATGAAAAATCAGGTCAAAGTCACTCTTCAAGAAAAGAGCATAATACCAAGTCATAAAATTTCACGCTTGCTTGCTATAAATTAAAATACTTTATTTTCATTAAAAAAAAATATATTTGATTTTTGCATTGTTCTTTAGAATATTTTTGAACTTTGAGTCTTAGATTATTTTGATTTATTAATTGATTAATTCATTACCAATTAAGGATCTCAAAATACTAAAGCATCAAGAGCCTCTTGATCAAACCAAGAAAATAAATGTTTCACCATCCAATTTGCTTGGCACAAATTTTGTACATTGTAATTTCAATCCTCCATTAAATTACATTTCAGAGGGTGGTTAAGTTAGAGTTGTAATATCACAATTGAGTGCACAAATCAGCTGGCACCAAACCGCAAAATGAACCAGTTTTTGGAGCACTAGCTCGAGAGGACACTCGACCACACATTTACGACTGCAAACTTCATTTCGCTCAGCAACAATCCTTCTTTGCGCTCATTTGCAAATACAGTCGGAGCAGATTAACTCCTCCTGGCGACAAAGATTTCAGATTAAAGCGAAGATAACAATTTAATAAATTACTGCGGAGGTTTTGTCGCTCGAGGGCCATTTATTTCCCCCAATGACGTGTGCTGCTCTTGGTTCTCGATTGCACGATGAAAAATTATATTAGAGGCGTTGTCGGTGCCTCAGGGGTGCGAATATTGCGATCAAAATTTTGTACCCGGTTCACAAAATATGTTCCGCAAATTCTGCTGCTATAATTTTTTCAAATCGAAGGCTAAGCCAATTACTTGCGCGGAAAAGGCAAAGACATGCTTTTCTCCGCAGCCAGTCTGGTTGGATTCGATTTATTTTCCGCCGGAGACGGAAATTCTTCTTTCCCTTTTATTGGCTTTTCACTCATTGCGCGCCGGCACTCTTCCTTTCCGATTGCACCGTGCCACGGCAGAGGTATAAATTGCAAATTCCATCACTCTCCATCATCTTTTGTGCGGAGATGAAAGGCCGCCGCGAATTTGCCGTTCACCGCAGTGAATGCTGTCTGATTTCCCTCCCTTTTGAATGGCGTACGTCGAATATTATTTTTTTCTGCAGTCGGGTTATCAGCAAATTGATGTGGCAACTTTGCGCTAAAGCACTGATGCATCAAAATTTGATAACGTTCAATTTAAGCAGAATTTTGAAATATATGTAAATAAAGGATGATAACATGCATGCCCTAATTAATGTGTAAATTTAAGCAATCAGATCAATAATGCTTACTTTTCACAACATTATGATTTTATAGTCCACTGAAATATTTTAACTATAATAACTTAATTAACTACTTCAATAATATTTTATAAATCAATAGCAAAATTTATATTTAGATGCAACTAGAATTATATTCACATTAGATATTGATAGTATTAAATGACCTTATCAAAAGTTTTTTTCAACAAACAGTAAAATAATTGTATTTAACTAAATTAATACTTAAAAATAAATTATTTGTGTGCATAAAAAATAAAAGATTTAGAAATTTATTGATCTATTTTAACTTTCACCTAAAAATTTAAATAAAATTGGGAGTATATAGGTTTTATTTTTTGATGATTTAATATAAAGTGATATAAAGGAAAAAAATTGAGCCCCATAATAATAAAAAAACAATTTCTGTCTTATAATTTCAACAGGATGGAAAAAATAATAAAACAATGACAATTTTTTAATTATGCTGCCAGTAAAAATCATTTAAATTGTAGGTAGATAATGTGGTTTTATTTGCTTAAACCAATCTTGATTCTACAAAAAAAGATATGGAAATTTTGCAAAACTTTTGCTCCATTATTTTAAATAATAATAAAAGGCTTAGAAAAAAATTGCTATTAAAGCATTATAATTCAAGACGAAAAGGGAAAACAATTCACCAGAGGGTTCCGTGACCAACTACATGGTGCGAGTACAAGCCCCTTAAATAGAGAAGTCACGGCTGCAATAATAATGCTGCGAGTCGACTCTCGAGCGAGTCAAGAGCGCGTGAAAAGTGGCCGGAAATTTGAATTCTAGCTGGCGAAAGGGACCGGGGCAAGCACAAGGGCGCCTCTGGGCAAGGAAGAGTGGTGCACGCCCGCACGGCGCCGCAGACACCCTGACCGAGGGTGGAGCTGGTCACGTGGGGCGCCCACCCTGCGAAGCTCCTCCCGCCAGCCGACCGGGAGTTGCAGTCGCTCGGCAGCCGCAGTCGGAGGCCCCTCGCTCGGAGGCGGCCATGCTCAGCTCTCGCTCGCTGCTGCTGCTCCTTCTCCTCGCGGGTCCCTGGGGCCCCCGGGGGCCCGGGGCCCTCGCCCAACGCCGCGAGGGCGGCCTCCGCGTGGGCCAGTCAGACCGAAACACGACCCCGCGGCCGACGCCGCCTCCGCGGACGCCCCCGCCGCCGACGGTGGCCCCCACCAGGGAGCAACTGTACGTGGGGCTCCTGGTGCCCCACACAGCCTTCGGCCAGCGCGAGTACTCCAAGGCCATCAAGACGGCGATGACCGTGCTGCAGAGGTCGCGGGGGCCCAAATTCGAGTTCCTCAACAAGTACCAGTTCGGCTTCGACAACATCAAGCAGGACATGCTGGGAATGACGCCCAGTCCTACAGGTAGGCAGCGTGTTTTTAATGCCCTTTCCGTGTTGGTACCACGCGACGGGCGTCCTCTGCTTTTCCGCTCCACCGAGAGTGAGTGGCGTGTATTTTTCTCCGGGGCTGTCGAACCGAATGAATGTCGTGTTTTCGCGAGAACGACTTTAGCGACAGGCTTAAATGGGCTGTAGGAATTTAATGGAGGCAGTCGACTTTTGAATAGTACCACTTAAAGACTTAAAATTTACATTGTTTTTGTCCTTAAAGAAGCAATCACGAAAGATTCGGTTGCACATACACCTTTTAAAATTAATTTCAATACGAAAATAGTAATTTTTCTAAATAAATTTCTCGTGGATTCAGAAACTGAGCGAGAAAACCACTGCTCGGAAAATGTATGTATTAAAACGTCCAAATTTCAATTTTTAATTAATTTTTTTTCCAAAACAGATTATGACTTCTGTTTCCAAGAAAATTAAACTTCAAAATTAATTAATTAATCAAAAATTTCTTTAAGTATTTATGTCTTTTACGCACCCGAAAGTTTATCTGTTTGATGAATTATAGTAGAAAAATGAAAAAAATTAGAATATATACAATAAAGAGTTAAAATTTACGTTGCATCATAATTTTTTTTAACTTGAACAACTGATGCAAATTAAATCATGGATCTAACAATTAATAGTAAAATAAATGGAGCAACTTTTCCAAATATTATTATTTATTTTATTTCTTTGGGAACAATAATGTAATTTTAAATATGATTTAGGGATCTGAACCTGAAAAAATATTATCTTGGTACTGTAACACAAAATTTGGTTTAAGATGCTGCTAAAACTATTTTTTT